TGGCAGGAACCTTCTGTTGTCCCTGTAGTCTGATGTCTCCAGCAGGTTCACCCAGATGTACCCTCATCCGCTGCTGGGTGACACGGAACTGCTCAGATCTGTCGCTCTAACAGCCACAATACCTGTTACTGCTCTTGAGTGCTGCTTAGTGGTCCCAGCTGGGCTCCAAGTGACCCTTGCAGTTGTGTCTGCATCTACATGTACTTGGGGAAGTCCTGCATGCGCTCTCCACTTACAATTCTAGCAAGGGCAGATTTGGGTGCTCGTGTTTGCACAAACCTTACACTTTTCTTTGGCATCTCCTGGTTGCTCTGTGTCTCATTTTCTCTGGCCACTCAGCAGGAGATAAGGGTGAAATGAAAATGAATGAATGAATGAATGAGGTGGTTTGTTAGTGGTTTATTTTTAAATTTTTTTTAAAATTTACATCCAAATTAGCATATAGTGCAACAGTGATTTCAGAAGTAGATTCCTTAGTGCCCCTTATCCATTTAGCCCACTGCCCCTCCCAGAACCCTGTTTGTTCTCCATATTTATGAGTCTCTTCTGTTTTGTCCCCCTCCCTGTTTTTATTTTTGTTTCCCTTCCCTTATGTTCATCTGTTTTGTCTCTTTAAGTCCTCATATGAGTGAAATCATATGATTTTTGTCTTTCTCTAATTTCACTTAGCATAATACCCTCCAGTTCCATCCACATAGTTGCAAGTGGGAAGATTTCATTCTTTTTGATTGCTGAGTAATACTCCATTGTATATATATATACTACATCTTCTTTATCCATTCCTGGCTCGGTGGACATTTGGGCTCTTTCCATACTTTGGCTATTGTTGCTAGTGCTGCTATAAACATGGGGGTGCATGTGTCCCTTCGAAACAGCACACCTGTATCCCTGGATAAATGGCTAGTAGTGCAATAGCTGGGTCGTAGGGTAGTTTTTTTTTAGTTTTTTGAGGAACCTCCATACTGTTTTCCAGAGTGGCTGCACCAGTTTGCATTCCCATTGTCTGTATATTATCTGATTTTGACTATGATATGCCTTGGTGGTGGTCATTTTCTGTTGAATCTAATGGGAGTTCTCTGTGCTTCCTGGATTTTGAGGTCTGTGTCATTCTCCAGATTTTGAAAGTTTTCCACTAGAATTTATTCACATAAACCTTCTGCCCCTTTTTCTCTCTTTTCAACTTCTGGGATTCCTATTTTTCAGATATTATTCCTTTTTTTTTTTTTTTTTTTTTTTGTAAGTCACTGAGTTCTCTACTTGTATTATGGTCTTTTGCCTGTTTCTCTCCTTTTCTCTGCTTCATTATTCTCCACAATTTTATGGTCTGTTTTGCTGATTCACTGCTCTGCTTTGTCCATCCATGCCATTGTGGCATGCATTCAATATTGCATGTCAGTTTTAGCATTTTTAATTTCATCCTAACTAGATTTTATTTCTTCTCTCTCTCCAGAAATGGATTTTATGCTTTTTCCACCCCCACTAGTACTCCTATTATTGTGGTTCTAAATTCTAGTGCAGACATCTTGCTTACAGCTGTGTTGATTAAGCCCCTATCATTTCTTCCTGCTCTTTCTTTTGGGATGAATCCCTTATCTTGTTATTTTGGAGGAAGAAAAAAAAATTGGTCAAATAAAAATTCAAATAAAGGAAGCTAAATTCTAGGTGTGTTTTGGTTGCCTTGTGAAAGAAGCTTGTTATGTGGGGAATAAGCTTAGAAATTTGTTAGCAAAGGGATGACTTGAAATAATGGTTAATTTCGTGTGTCTCAAAGTGTTCATGAGTAACTGTAAAGATAGCTATGAAGAGCTTTGGTAACCTAAAACTTTGAAGTTTTGCTAAGTTAAATGATAAACTGGGTTGAATTCATTGGTATCTAAGTATTTTCCAAACGAGACAAAATACTAAAGCAATGATTACTGAACATAGTTTTGTGCTTTCAGCTTCTTTTTGCACAGAACCTGAGGATACTTGGGTTTGTTGGTCAATGTGCTGTGTGCTTAATTGAAAGACTGTACTATGGAAGAACCTCTGTTTTAAAATTTCAGATCTAGAAAAATTCTGATGTAACAGTTCACAAGTGGTCACTACTTAGTTTTCACTGGAGACTAAGGTTTCTAAGAGGTACAATTCTTCTGCTAAATGGAATTAAGATTGATGGAAATAAGGAAAGCAGCTCTGAATTAAAAAAAAAAACATTGTAAAAGGTTCATGAAGGAAAATCTTTGGAAAGGAATTTTATGTGCTGTTGGGACAAGGTTGAAAGAAATGGATTTTAAAAAGTACACTGGTAGAAGATTGCAATTCTGCTTTTCTCTCTGTTAAAAAAGACAAAGGTTTCTTGGATTGTTGGTTGGCTCTTGATGAAAAA